TGTTTCACAAAGCTTATGAAGCCAGTCGTCTCTTTTCTCCGCAATTTAGGCATCTCTACAGTCAATTATTTAGACGATTTTCTAATCTTTGGAGTTTCCTATGAATCCTGCCTTAATAATGTTAGCACAACCATTCGGTTTTTAAGCTCATTGGGTCTTATCATCAATAACAGCAAAAGCATTCTGGTACCCACTACTCGTATAAGATTCCTCGGCTTTCTGATAGATAGTGTTAATTTAACAATTGAACTTCCTGCCGAAAAGAAAAATCACATCCTCAGGTTAGCCTCATATTATTTGAACCAATCGAGATGTAGAATTCGCGACTGGGCAAGGTTCATTGGCACCTTGGTGTCGGCTTGTCCTGGTGTGAAATACGGGTTTCTTTATTGCAAATCTCTAGAAAGGGAAAAATTCTTAGCTTTAGAGAAAAACAATGGAAATTATAACGCAAGTATGGCTATTCCTGAAAACATAAAGAGCGATATTTCATGGTGGAAAGATCACATTTCAACAGCTTTCAATGACATAAGGTATGATTCCTTTCATATCACCATCTTTACCGACGCATCGCTAACAGGATGGGGGGCTTGCTCTGGCCAGGATAGAACCCACGGTTTCTGGTCCGACTCCCAAAAACTATTGCATATAAATAATTTGGAATTATGGGCTATATTTTACGGCATCCAGTGTTATGCAAAACTTTTAAAAAATTGCAATATTCTAATTCGATGCGACAATACAACAGCCGTTTCTTACATTAACAGAATGGGGAGTGTTCGGTTTCCAGAGCTATGTTCTCTGGCTAAACAAATTTGGCAATGGTGTGAGGAAAGAAATCTCTGGCTTTTTGCATCATACATCCCATCTAAAGATAACGCTATAGCAGACGATGAGTCCAGGAGCTTGAATTTTGAAACGGAATGGTCATTATCTCAAACTGCCTTCGACCATTTAACCGACATCTTCGGAAAACCAGAGATCGATCTTTTTGCCTCTCATACCAATGCGAAATGCGAGGTATACGCTTCCTGGCATAGAGATCCAGGATCTACATATATCGATGCGTTTACAATTCGCTGGAACAGTTTTTATTTTTATGCATTCCCCCCTTTTACCTTAATTCTCCGAGTTTTACAAAAAATAATTCAGGATAAGGCTGTCGGAATTTTGGTGGTTCCTTGGTGGCCTTCACAACCTTGGTACCCACTTTTCCGTCAGTTATTGATCGACCAAGAAATTCATTTTCCCCCTTCACCTGATTTACTATCTTGTGCGGTTTCCAGGTCACATCCGCTGTCGAAAACCCTTACCCTGGTAGCAGCGAAGTTATCAGGCAAGCGTTTTTGAGTAGAGAGGTGCCGGAATCTGCTATTTCTACAATCATCGCCTCAGTCTCCAGATCCACATTGCAGCAATATAACAGCTCCTACAAATTGTGGTGGGAATTTTGCTTTAGTAATGACATTTCGATCTTTAAAACCCACAATCAAAGACGTGGTGTCATTCTTGCAAGAGTTGACAAAGAAGAAAAACCTCACGTCTGGCACTTTTAATTCTCATACATCTGCTCTTTCACTAATTTGCTCAACTGATTTAGCATCCAATCCTATAATTAGACGCTTCAAAAAAGGCATTCATCGTTTACGGCCTTCTCGGCCAAAAATATTCGGCCACCTGGGATCCTATACCTCTCCTAAGTTATCTAGAAAAGTTACCATCTCCACTTAGCCTCCAAAGTCTGTCACAAAAATTGACAACGTTATTAGCTCTAATAACAGGAGAAAGACTCCAGACAATTTCTCTTATTCGTCTTTCACATACCTCCCATGGTCCCAGCGAAACTACCATTAATATTTCAGACCCAATTAAAACCAGTCGAATTGGGAAACCTCAACCAACCTTGCATATACCGGTTTTTCAACAAAACCCTTTCCTGTGCGTAGCCACCATCCTGAAGGAATATATTGACAGAACAGCTAGCTTGAGAGAACCCGACAACGATTTTCTATTCGTGACATATAAAAAACCACATACCAGGGCGTCCAAAGACACTTTAAGCAGATGGGTAAAACAGACTCTTGCATCGGCGGGTGTCAACACAACACTTTTTACGCCTCATTCAGTCAGGCATGCGGCTACCTCAACGGCGTTAAGAAAAGGCGTTTCCGTAGATAGTATATGTAAAACAGTTGGTTGGACGCAACATTCCACATTTGCAAAGTTTTATAATCGTCCTTTACAAACCAACAATGAGTTTGCAAATGCCATTTTGGACATAAATGCCTGATTAGTTAGAACAGTTTAAGAGTTTGTGACGTACTTTAGGTACTCTAGTTGTTTTTTGAAAAAATATTACTATTAGGGTAAATGTTAAAAATTGACCCCTTGTTTTTTGCTTTTGTTTATGAGAATGCAGAATATATGTTTTTGCCTTTTTGTGTTTGTATACTTGTATTTTTTATATCATCAACTCGCTCGCAACTCTATCTCATCTTTAAACATCTACATAGTGAATAAACAAAGTGATGTCTTCGGACTGGACCCAAAGTATAATTGATCGATCAAACGAACTTACCTGAAGTGAAGTTCGATCGTAATTATACGAGGGTCCAGTCCGAAGACATCACCCCCACCCTATATGCAACCCTCCCAAGTTGCGAGCAAGTACCATTTCTTTAAACAAATGATTCAACGCGAGTGGCCAGGGCGCGGCGAGGAGGTGGGGATTCTCGTCTTTCAACTTGGTGCGCGGATCGTACTCCAGGGGCGGACTACATAGTGAATAAACAAAGTGATGTCTTCGGACTGGACCCTCGTATAATTACGATCGAACTTCACTTCAGGTAAGTTCGTTTGATCGATCAATTTTGTTACAATGTTTTTCGAACGCGTTTTACTTCGGATAATGTCTTTATGCTGAATCCACTTTGTTACACCATCTTTCCCAATGTAATATAGTTTATTGAGAGTCACTGTTTCAGCCTCTTCATGGTATCTGTGTTCAGACGGTGCATCTTCATCTGAGACGTCACACTTTACTGCAGACAATGCATCTTCTTTTTCCAGTTCTTCCCAAAGTGCCCACAATCTTTGCTGTTCCTTTTCATATGACATTTTGAGAAAATGGAACATCAAGTACTTTCAAAAAGATCACTCGCGTAGTTAGATATTTTCTAATAACTTCGAAAAAAAACATGAACGTGATGACGCGCGTGTTAGATTCCGTCTAACAGTTTCGTAGCGCTCGTCTAAACGCCACTAAAACAACTTTGTCAACAGCAGCAGGCAAAACCCAATATTGGGGGGATACTACGATAGATGAACTAGGAATTCATGGATCGACGTTGCCGCACTACCATTCTTGGTCTTTTTCTGAAGGAAAACGTTAAAATGTTAGACAAAATCTAACAGCGCTAGTGATCGCGGGTTAATGTTTCATTTGTTCATGAGTGAATAATAAGGCAGGATGTTGTCGAGCGACAGTGACAGTGAGGCTGATTTATCTCTAATAACCAAGTGGTGGATGTTTAGTTCTCTACCAAATTGAAAAACAGTACACATCCAGTAAACCAAGTGAGACAGGAACTTGGATAGTACCACCACCTTTTCCTCGAAGTGAAGAGAGACAAGGAAAGAGTCCACTCGTACCTGAGAATGTGGACAGATACATTTGGTTACTTACATACTCGACAAGTTCTGGACGATCGCAAGTACACCAACTTGCGCAGTAATCCAATTCTTGCTGAGGAACGAGCACGACCTTGGAAAAACAAATCACAGCTAAGCCCACCCCGATGTTTCCCTCCTGACAGCGAGGTAAAAACAATACATACGGTGTTAGGGAAATAATATTCGTAACTTTAAGAGGTGATTCCTTGCATTATTCTAAGCAAAAAAGTTCATTATAACCTATGTACCGAAAGTCAACCGTTTCGGAGCAAAAAAATGCCGAACTTATTTCTTTTTAGTCATGAAATACATTTATTTTGCACCTTAATAATTTAAATTCATATGCCTAATAGCGTAAAATGTATCAATACATCTATTTATTAATTAACTGTCTCTAGAAAATAATTTACTTGCTTATTAAATACAATTTTCCGAAGAAAAACAGACAAACAAAATCCCTCACACAACTGGCGACGCCGTATTCCGCCTGCACTGCATGTATCATCGCGATCGACATCGTGTCGGTAGGCAAAAAAAAACCTACATCGGGAAAAAATTATTTGATAGTTTCTCTCACATTTTATTATTCAGTATGTATTCCTGTATCGGTGCGTGCGTTTTGATACGAAAGAGATGTTTCCGGTACGCGAGTATCACGATTTGCTTATTATTTACGGAGAGGCTCATTGCAATTCTAAAGAGGCTCTCCGTAAAGACGAAGAACGTTATCCTGATCGAAGGCTACCAGCTAGAAGAACATTAGCAGAAGTATCCCAAAGACTTCTGGACACATTGAGCGCGTAGTGCCTAATTTTAACAATCGCGGAAGACATCGTGAAGAGTGGGAACCGCAGAACATCTATTGTGACTACTAATGCATTTAACTGTAGCTTTATGTGATTTACGGATGTTTTTTTTTCTTTTTTCGAGCATCGCATCGTGGCAAATAGGTGACTGATAATGTTGGGAATTGGTCGTGTGCATCGCCACATACCGGTAAGTTCTGTCCTTTTTTAAAGTAAATGTACTCTACTGAAAGCGCTATTAAACAAAAAATATTAGCCACAAAAGTATTCAATAATCCAAGGCATACTTTGAACAAAAATATGATATAAATGTAATTCGATGAATCAGTTGCGGTCGTTGTTAGCTCTTATTGCGGTTAGCATATTATTTTTATTCATAGCATATTATTAAATCAATTTTATTGACAAAAATGACTAGACCGGCCCATTGGCCATTTCCCAAGATAATTGTTTTTACCGGTGTATTTAGCTATTTTTTTCTCACGTAATTCATAACCAAAATAAATAACATGCAGACATTTACCTATTATCATGTTTATTTGAAATAACAAACATAACACATGAATACCACGGAATAACTATAATTTTTAATTTGTATCCGTTGTTTTTCTTCTGTAGTCGTTTGGCTGCCTGTATATAGTAGTCAGCATGTCACTGAAGAATTTGGCAACTGAAACCAAATATTTCTCAATCAATTAAACATAATCCATCCTGATCTATTGTATAATGCAAAAATTTCAATTATTAAATTTAGCGTACAGCAATCGCACTCCATTTTGATCATTTTTACAGTTTCTATCACTAAGTTTATAAATGTGTAGTCAATTTTCCATGCATTCAGGTAATTAATTGAAGAATTTACTCACCCTGATATGGACAATTTCTTCTTGTGTTGCCTAGTAATTTCCCTGGTTCACCATGAGTAATAATTTTAGTATTCATCTCCACATATTTTCATAAATAACTCGGTTGCTTCCATCCCATGCTAGATCTTCCACCGTCAGGAAATCAATTCAATCTCGAAATTTTCGCCTCGGGGATTTGTTTACATCCCAACAACAATCCGGTTTGTCACTCCGGAGCTAAAAATAAATAAATAACTAAATGTTCATCTATAAATTGATATCACCTTCTGAATTAAAAACTATTTGTGTTGCATAAATATTATTACTCACCTATTGAACTATATATTTCTTTTATAGTCAGATGAATTTATTATTGTTTTCTGAAATCTTCCAATGTCAAAGGCTGATATCGCTGATGTCGAGATACTATTCTGCGTACCGAACTACTTGCACACCTCGCTTGTCCCGCATAGTTGTAAATTTTATTTCAGAATTTCCTTATGTTTATTAATCAATCAAATTTATATGCAGATATGGCAGTGTTGCCAGATTTATTCACGATATTTCCTTGAATCTATATTAGGAACCTTCTCATTTTTAGATTAGACGACAACGTTTGGCTCTTAATGGTCAGGCGTACAACTATATTTGGAAATGTCAAGTCGAAAAAATTAAATTTTGGGAGGGGACTTCCATCCACTATCGGAGGGCCATCTTGTTCTGTTCCGCTAGTGCCAGAAGACCTAAAATTTTCCTCCTCTTTTGCGTGGGACATCTTCGTTGGATTGTGGAAGAAAATTTCATAGATAATTTCCTGGGTCATTCCTGTTGTGAGTGCGTAGCATCTTTTTTTTTGTCTACCCTTGGACCCGAGAAATTCTACAATTTGTAGGATCTTATTGTCTTCAGCCGCACTTTTCGCCACTTTTGGGGGAATCTTCGCTACTGGAGATCCATTGACACGTTTTCTACCGGGGACCTCTTTCCGAACAGAGACCCTTTTTCCACCATAGGGATTCTTACGTCATCGGTTTTGAAGCCTTCCTCGCCCATTTTAAATTAGTTAGTCAATAAGCTTTCGCATTAAGGGAGATCTCCTAGTTTAGCTGGCTTAAATTTTTGTTGTTAGCCGTTAGTAGACGTAATAAAATGTATTGATGTTAATTTATCAATTATTTACCCACACAGAAAATCTATTGTTTGTATGTATTTTTGTTTTTGTTTCTTGGGGTTTTGGGCTAAAGAGTGCCTTTCATCACCAAGGCGTCTTCCAGTTTTGGCGGATAAAAGCTGGTGGCGCCCCTAAAAAAATACCCCCCCTACTTTCCGGTGTACCTGAGCATACGGCCTAATTTGCCAACGCTAAACCACGGCTTTAGCCCCAGTAACCCCCTAGTTTTTTTTTAATCAACCATTGCCTCAATTGAATGAAATAACTTTAGCAATAAAATTAAAAAGTGATTTTAATAAAAGAAAAAGAGCGTGGCAATGTGTTGATAAATGCAAATGCTAACTGCAGTACAATAATGAACGTAAAATAAAACATAATATACCTGACTTTCACAAAATAATCTTAAGTTGACATGTTTTATAAGTCACAGAAAATTGTTTAAATTGTCTTGTAAAGCCCAATGAAACCAAAATAGTTTAGATTTATTTTTATCTAGTTTCTTCGAAGACGCCTTCTCATTGCTTAAATTTGTGACCCACGCGCTTTTTGGCACCCCTGCTTAGATAAATGTTCCTGAACCATCTCACGTTCGCGGTAATTGAATCTCAAGATCATCTCCTTTTACCGAGCATTCGAGAGCATTCGATTTCTGACTGTGTAGTAGTATTCTACGCCTATCTGAATCAGTTTATATGGTTCAATAGATAAAATTAAAACTTTATCTGCTTCCGTTTTGTCTGCATCATCCGACATTTCTTTCAGATACTGTAAGATGATATTATTCCAACCTTAATAAAATTGTGCCGCGCTTTCTTATCAATCACTGTTGTTCAAAAAACACTATTTCAAAGGAAATGGAAGCGGTTCAAAGAGGTTGAAGTTGCGAAGTGAGGTGGAATGACATCAATGATCTTGTTGTTCATGTCTTGAACCTATTTACCTTTTTGCCTTGACTGTGTGTTGACTTTCTTGCTTCCGCTCTCTCTGCCTTCTTGCTTACATTCGCTGTCTTCTGTCGTAGCTGTTTTCTCGTTTCTCGTCAAGCAGACACATTGAACGTATTTGGCTTTGTAAGGTTTCATCCGAGTGATGTCATAATAACAAATCAAGGTATGCCATAATCTGGGTGACTTTTCAATACTTCAGAGCTGCTTTCCAGTGTCTTTTTAGTTTGAGAATGATATTGCTTCAAAAACAATGATCACTATAAAGCAGCCCTGTTATGACTTTTAGGTATTTCTTGTTTTCGCGAATGTACAAACCGTATTTTAACGTCGCTCGTGAATTATTTAACTTATATCGTAAATACCAGAATTCCTAATGCTCGCTGTAGCAATACTGTTGTGTATCGTAATTCATTGGACCGGAAAAAAACAGTATTATATCAGACACATTTTGTAAAGCTCCATCCATTCCCACTATTTTTGTAGTTTAGCACTAAACGAGCCACCTCTGGCAAACATGGTATCATAGACGATTATATCATAAAACATTTGATTAATACCGTGATTTGTGACTGACTGTATGTGGCAGGAGTCGGGAGCTATATCCTATCATTTTCCCTACACCGCCCCCCAAATAACATAAAGATAGCTGTAACACTCATACAATGATAATGAAAATATTTTGCATTTTCCACAGTTTATGCATATAAAGGATTCCCTTTATAAAAGCCAGTTATTTGTGTATCAATAATCCGAATGAAATGGAATATAAACACATATTTACAAATTCATATATTTATAGAGCGTTGGGTAACTGACTATTTTGTTTTTCATGCATTATGGATTTTACTACCGTCTCTTTTTTGTCGACAAAGGGCTGCTTATCCAGTTAAATATTTCATAATGTACATACGCTCGAGGTCCTAGTTTGTCCTGCAGGATGAACTAAATTCTGTCAAAGTAACAAAAAATGGCGTCAAGTAGGTTGACTCTGCACTTCCCACGTAACGCCGTTACCACCTCATAAAGCATTATGCTAAGCATAAACTAGACTCTCTGAGAAAAAACTCAGTCAAAGATGTGGCGCGGTGGGAACACCAGAACAGGTATCAAGGTCGACGACATGGTAAGTACGCGATCCGTCTGCTGAGACTTTTAAGGGCTGCTGTAGGAGAAAACTACGATGTGTGAAATATGTCTAATGAGTGCGTAGAATTACCAAGGTTGGGAACGTACGAGCCCCTTCCCACTTCAGTTGGCCCACTTCAAGATTTGTACCAAAATATGCCTTTATAAACTAAACATGACGAAACTATTTACTTCTAAAACAATTTATTTTCTAAAAAAACACTCTGGTCGTAAAAAAATACATATTTGTAATCACTTAGACCTATAACTAATAGAACATCTGAACAAATAAACAATGTGCGAATGAATGCGCGGAGTAAACAAAGCAATAATTGAAAGATTACCATTGGGTAATATCACCTTTATTTTTTATTACGGCTGAAATTCTTTGGGGTCTAGTGTTAACCAAGTTTTGGCAAAAATTTAGTGTAAAACAATCCCATTTTTCTTGAAGCTTTTGTCTCACTTCGGTGATTGTACGAGCAGGATGTTGTCGTAGAACCTTTTTCATCTCGTGCCACAAAGTTTCAATAGGTGATAGATCTGGACTGCTAGAAACCCATTTCAAAAGTGGTCCATTATTTTCTTCCATCCATTTTATAGCCTTTTTTGAGGTATGGCACACTGCAACGTCTTGCTGAAACAAATCTTAGCCGGATGTCAAACATTCTTCCATCACTGGTAAAAGCGATTCTTCTAAAATTGCCAAATGTTTGTTTGTATCCACATTTCCATCAATAAAATGAAGTTTTCCTACTCCTTTTGATGACATACTGCCCCAGACCATAATGGATGCTAGAAATTTCACTTTTCTCTTCAGACAGTCAACATGGAATGCTTCATTTTTTTGCGAATAACTCTACTGCGACTGTCACCAACACAAACTTCGAATCGGGCCTCATCACTCCATTGTATTGCACACCATTGTTGAGGTGTCCATTGTTTATGTTCTTTAGCCCATCTAAGCCGATTTTCCTTTTGCAGTGGAGTTAATAGTGGCTTTTCTTTGGCCTGTAAACAAGTTGTGCAGGTTTAGGGTTTTTACTTCACTATTTTTATAAGAAAACTTACCTTGCAAGTTGTAAATCCCAGTTTGTGGACCTCTCTATGAGTTTTGGACCTCGAAATTCTCCTTCCAACAGCGTCACTCCACAGAGCACTTAATTGTGAATAATCGGCACGAATGTTTTTCAAGATTATTCTTCTTAATGCTCTTCAGTCGGCATTTGTGATATTACTTTTTCCACATATCGTGGCTTAATATTAACTGACCCAGTTACGTTATATCTTCTAACAATATTTCTCACACTGTACCGCGATAAGTCTCACAAAGTTGCAATTGCTGAGTTTGATTTCCCAGAATTAAAAAATTTAATTATCATTAACTACCCAAAACTATTTTAAACGTATTCTGACAGCTGTGGTTAATAAAAACAATTGTCATGGCTTTTATTTTTCACAGCCACCTATGCGTTATAAACTTATTTTGCATTGACATGAAAATAGATTGGTATGCTGTACTTGCAAGATGTGTTATTTTTATGCTGCAAATTTGACTAGGGAGTGATAAAGTTGGTGTTTTCTACTATATATTATCAAAATATTCATTATTAATATTTTAAACCTATAACACCCTGCTACATTTTTATTATTTGTGTTTGATAAGAAAAACAGTAGGATTTCAATAGTTGGGCCAACTGAAGTGGGAAGGGGCTCGTATAAATACACTAACATCAAAAAATTGATATATCCTCACCACGCCATCAACCCCCATCTCCAAATGTTTCACCTCTAAAATTTTTTTCAAAAATCATCATGAACCTCTGAAACGTCGTGAAAGAAGTTTCAACGGTTTTTATTTGTTTTCGGCCCTATCTCCGCTGCCCCTGGACCAATTTTTAAGGATAGCATCATTGTGTCTATATTTCAGCAAAATCCGAGCAGTACTTCTCAAGTTATAGGCGGTTATAGGCTTAGCGGACATACCCACAGACCGACAGTCAGGCTGACAGACAGACATGGGTTTTCATTATATGTAATTTGACATCCAGGAAAACTAATATATAATTTTCTAAAATTTCCGTGATAACAACACTGCCCCGCCAGTAAGCATGGGAAGTAGATAACGAAATCAAGAAGTAGATTGTAGACAGGAGGCTTGCCAAACGTACGACGATATTAAGGGGCTGATTCTTGGACTATTCTATTCCGCTAACGGTTTTAGAAATCCACGCGTCTCTGGAAATCAGTTTTGCTTGGACAACTTTTGAACGCCGCGGCGTAGTTCAGCAAAGTTTTGACAGCAGGAGAACAATTATTGAGATCTCACACGCTCGTTTCTATGGAAAACATCTGAATAATCAAGGTCATCAGGCACGGACTGGCTCTGAAGCTATATTGCGAATGCTGGCTCAATATTTATATTTGTGGACAGCTAGTCTTCCGTGTAAAAAAATCTCGTTTTACTCCGATAAAATGAGTCATATTTGAGAAAAACGGGTTAATTGGGTTCCACCATTCAGTGAACAAAATAATTGTGTTAATCAGTGTTAACAAACTCACATATTTAAATATTCATGTAATTTCGCCAAGTTTTAGTCTTCTGTTCTGCATTTGATGATTGGCTGCAGACTGAATCAATAGGATACGTTTTCTCAGATAAAGCATTCGGCTTCTCAAAAGTACTTTTGAGCTACTATTACGGTATATAGGGTGGAAAGAATAGCAATATTTCGTTTGGGCTAATCCCTCCTTGGCGATTGTTTTCCATCAAATCTGTCATGTAAAACTGGTTATTGTACTGTCAAAATCTTGTTGAAATACATGGTGTTTTTCAACGGTTATGTGAGAAAATCCGTTTTCCATAGGCGCGTTTTAGGGTCCTCCGAGACGAAGCAGTATTTTAAAATTTTTAAAAAACAGATTCTGAACGTCACCACCGCTAGACAAATCAGTACGACTCACAGTTTTAAATATTCGATTACTAGTCTTGACTTTCAGCTTCTAAGTTTCTGAAAAAATGCTACGCTGAAAGTAACTTAGTAACTACAGTAAATACAGTCAGTAACACTTTCAGTAATTTTCTTTGACGGACGCTAATCAAGTATAAGCTACATTGATTTGTCATGTGGTCAAACCGAATTTTGAAGGAGGTCTGAATTAAAAACAATTCTATGGAGAAGCGTTTGAAATATGAATCCAGCCTCAGCTTTGGTAAATTTATCTATGTTTAAAGTTTTGGTGCAGTATCAAAAAGAATAATAAGATATCCAAACAACACTGATGCAATAGAATCACTGAGAAGGTCTTTCTTCAAATACATTGACAGTCCAGTAACATTACTGAACGAACTCAGATTCTGTACCAAGCTAGTGCGTTGATTTTATTCTGGTACCTAGACCTAGTATTTATATGGTACCTACCTATTAGTACTAGGCTTCCAAGACACCAGTCCCACACTGACATGCAGTGGAAGGCAAGAAATGTACGACAAAATAACAGCGAAATATAAGAAAAGATTGTGAAGAAAGAAAAAAAGAGAGCTACTAAATACTATTCGAAGTCGTCGCTATTCGATTAAAATTTTTTTTGCATTATTCGGGTTTGTTTAGGCCTTCTACTGTGCTCACTTTGGCCTTCTTGCAAACGACATGTGTTCCTACCTTTTTGCAACAGATAAACGAACATACGCGAAACAGGATACACAGTTCCTCAAAGCGGTCTGAAAATACTTGCGAAGCCTCGACAGTATCTGGAAAACACTAACTGTAAGCTAATATCATACCGACAACTTCGTCATTGCTGCAGAAGTTTGCTATTTTCAGTTTTTCGAATTAACTTTGTAAACAGACAGTTCGATCTTCCTACACGACAGACTGAAGACTCACGTACGTCGTACCTATTCAATGTTTACATGATCGGGAAGCAAGGTTGGCTTAGGCACGACAAGCTTTTTCTAAGCCTAATATCTCGATTATTTAAGTTTTTGGTGTATTAGTAGTAGTGATGAG